CTTTATCCTTGCAATGAGAATTAATCATGTGAGATGAGAATTATTTGAAGATTTCTTTTAATTTTAAAAAATCGTGATGACATTTTCTCTGATTATTTATTGACTTTGCAAACTGGTCACTTGTGAGATTAAAATTTGTTGCAAAATATAATGACCCAGGAGGTCTATGATTTCACCAAACTTGTGAATGTCACATTAACCTTACGAGGAGGGCGACCAAAATTTAAGGAGAGTGCAAATAAATAGATAGATAAGTTTTGATTGGTATAGAATTGATGTTTATAGGGTGACAAACTATATTCTTTTATCAATTCAGCCTTGAGTTTGAATGTAAGAGTCTCTGGTAAGTTCTATAGAGAGCACAATGTGTATTCTAGAAGTGAGAGACTATAATCTACTCACCACTACCACATAAGCTGTAACAAACTTAAGATTAACCAATGTTCTTTGCATGCACCGAGAGGGGGTTAAGGGATGCGTATACTCATATTCGTCATAATTCAACAATTTATATTTTTAAAACATTCAAATCCAACACTGATCAAGATCTCTTTGCAAGGGGAAATATATTTTCATACTATTCATACTCTTTTAAACTCCATTAGTTTATAAAATTTGCACATACTTTCAGCTTAAAATTAGATTGCATGTAAATTTAGTTTTAATCCTTTACAAATATTTCAACACTATTTGCATATCATTTTTATCTGCAATTTAGATAGAAGTTTTTTTATATCATTATAAAAGGTTACAGCTTCCCTGTGGGACCGGTACTGAGGTTTTTAAGGAAAATTTTATATTACTTGAAAAGATACGTATACTTGCGTAGTACTCATCGTATGTAAACTATTAAAAAAATTATAAATTTTATAACATATCAATTTTACATACTAGCCGCTAAATATAATTTGGGTCAAGTTTTTTACAATCTTTTGCAATATAAATACCTGCATAATTACGGTCGGGTCACCCACCATCGAGCCAATAAATTGTGTAATTCCCTCCAACGGCTTTTACATCTTTTCACTCCATATGACAGTGCTTTGGACAATTGTAGGTGCCCCTTCGGATCACTGCCTCCACGACACACCCACACCCGCCTCACCTCCTCTACAACACAACCACCCTCTGAGTCACCACCTCCACGACACACCCACCCTCCGGGTCACTGCCTTCACGACACACTTACCCTTAAGGGCCACTCCCTCAACGACACATCAACCATCCGTGTCACTGGCTCCATGACACATTAATTCCATTTGTGTTGTATGTTTTGCATGCATCATTCGACACTGTGGGCACATTCATCACCAGTGTACGCACTGTATGTTAGTGACAAATGTTTGTTTTCTCTCGATCGTTCCTACTTAGCAATGACGATCGTATCATACAAAATTACGTTGCATTTGCATGTACATTATCTGATTGTCTTGAAGACAAATCTTTCTCATTAGTCGTGTAATTCGTTGCTGGTCATGACGGGGTAGCACAAGTATCGCACACGGGGATGCTTTGGTGGGGGCAATACTTAGTGCTATTAAATTGGCTTGTCGTTCGCGAATACGTCATGTTTGACTCGTTAAGCAACTTGTGTTCGCCTCGTTATACTAGATGTATATTTATATATCTATATAGATATGTATTTATATATAGATGTATATTTATATATCTATATAGATATGTATGTATGTATGAATCTGCATTAGTTTTTCAGGCCGCCATTGCGAATTTTCTAACTTGCATCAATCTTACATAGAAAATACCATTATGTGACCTGCATCCTTTCATGCACATATTAGGCGGCATACATGCAAAATTTAAGATTTAGTAGTTACATATGTGGTTATTTGTATTGCAAGTGCAACATTATACTTTAAATTAACCTTATTGAGTTTTATTTTAATAATTTCATTTCTTAACTCTTTAGGTGTCAGTGGACTGTGTCATTGTGATCAGTCCAAGGAGACAGTCGCTCAGTTACAAACAGTGCGGCGTCGATGGGCTAAATCTTTAATTATTTTTCAAAATAACTTATTTTCTTAATTGTTTTTTTTTTTCTTAAGCTTCGTCCGTTTGGTAGCGCTGTCGCGGTAGCTTTTGGGCAACGCGAAGTGGGGGCCACGGCCTTTAATTTTTCACTTTATTACTTTTTTTTTTCTTTTTTTTTTTTATTTATGGAATTTTATTGCTTTATCGGCCGACTGCAGCGGTAAGCTTACAGCGAGTGACGGCATCGCGATCTTGATCGGACGGTCGAATTCTATCCTATTTATGGAAGTGTAATGTTAGGCCTTAAATTTTGAATTAAATTTAATGTAATTCAAAAGTTATGTCATGATACTTGCCTTTCTTAAAAGTGGTGGAAGCCAGATGAAAAGTGCCTGCAGTTGCTTAACTATGGCGATTTTTTTTTTTTTTTTACTTTTTTTTAGGAATATTTACATGCACACCACCCAATTCCTATGTATTTGCATGTATAACACCTAAACTTTCATGTCTCATACATATATATCTATATATGTATATATATATATATGTATATATGTATATGTATGTACATATGTATATATGTATATGTATGTATACATACATATACATGACCTGGCTCATTGGCTCGTTGTTCGCGAATACGTCATGTTTGACTTGTTAAGCAGCTTGTGTTCGCCTCGTTATACTAGATATATATATATACATACATACATATATATATACATACATATATACATACATATATACATACATATATACATACATATATACATACATATATACATACATATATACATACATATATACATACATATATACATACATATATACATACATACATATATACATACATATATACATACATACATACATA